GTAAATAGAGCTGTTTAATATTATTTTGTTAATGGATAGAATAAAATGTAATCTGATGGTGAAAGCATTCTTCTTGACATTGTGGAAAATGCCTCCCTATATTGCATGTGATGGGAAAGCAATTCGATTGGGAAAAGCTTACTGAATTAAGCTTACTGAATTCTGGCCTATTGACCTTATAGCAAGCATGTTAGATGAGATGCTATAAGGGCTCAAGTAATACCTGAATCCTTCAGGATTATTTTGATTGCAAGTGATGTAAAACCTCAGTGAAATTGAGCAAAAAATAAAATTTTCTGGGTCATGCAACAAAACATTCCAGGGATAGGGTTAGCTTTAGGCACAGCTTGATCCAGAAGCTGTGTCACAATGTCACTTGAGTACAGGCTCTCTCTCCATCACTACATTGCTTTCTTCTGTATTTTCTTCCTTCCCAGACAAATTCTTCCCTTGTGGATAATAAACAATTGAACAGGTCGGGCATGGCGGCTCATACCTGTAACCCCAGCACTTTGAGAGGCCAAGGAGGGCAGGTCACTTGAGGTCAGGAGTTCCAGACCAGCCTGGCCAACATGGTGAAACCCCATCTCTACTAAAAATACAAAAATTAGCTGGGCGTGGTGGCACACACCTGTAATCCAAGCAATTAGGGAAGCTGAGGCACAAGAATCACCTGAACCTGAGAGGCGGAGTTTACAAGCCAAGACTGTGCCACTGCACTCCAGCCTGGGCAACAGAGTATGACTCTGTCTCAAAACAAACAAACAAACAAAATTGTAAAGGAATAATGCCTACAAAAACATCTTCACAGTTCTAATTTATTCCAGTCATAAAGAGAACCGTCTGAGCAGAACATCTTAAGAGTGCATTTTCTTGACCCTGTTGGGTTATAAACCAGGTCCTGGACCAGTGCCTGTGGCCAGGGTACTGCAGTACTCTGCTCTGATTGGCTATGCCTGAGTCACATGCCACCAATCAAAACACAGGGACTGAGATTTGGGGCAGGAACGCGCCACAGGGGAGTCAGTGTTAAAAGATGTCTCATTAGAGAGCAACTGTCTGGTAATACGGTATAGTGCATTGAATGCACATCCCATATACTCAATGAGTTCATCTGAAGACTAAGAATATTCAAAAGCACAATTCAACCGGATGAGAGTACAAAGGCCTGTGTTTGTTTGATATGATCATGCAGCCAAAAAAGGTAGAGTTATACACTTGGTATGTGTAGAAGACATGCAAAATCTGTGTTACAATACAGAGTTCCATCAGAGACTTCCTTTGAAAAACAGGATTCTTTTAAATGTTTGGGACCCAGTAGGACTAAATGAGGGAAGGTAAGAACTCTCTGCCACCACCCAGCTCCCTTTTAAGTAGGAAAGAGCTTGAAAATCCCCACCTCTGAGAAAGGGGCTTTGCAGGGGCTCTGGGGCACATCTCAGAACAATTCTCAAGGCAAAGGCTCTTGAAAGATTCTGAGCTCAGATAAAGTGATGTTTAAGAAAGCTCTTCTGGCAAGGCATGGTGGCTCATGCCTGTAATCCCAGCACTTTGGAAGGCCAAGGTGAGTGGATCATGAGGTCAGGAGTTCAAGATCAGCCTGGCCAACATTGTGAAACCCTGTCTCTACTAAAATAAAAATTAACCAGACATGGTGGCGGGCACCTGTAATCCCAGCTACTCGGGAGGCTGAGGCAGGAGAATTGCTTGAACCCAGGAGGCGGGGGTTTCAGTGAGCCAAGATCGCACCCCTGCACTCCAGCCTGGGCGACAGAGCAAGACTCCATCTCAAAAAAAAAAAAAAAAAAAAGAAAGAAAAGCTCTTCTAAGCTATGTAATTAATTGACAGACAGAAACAGCTCCAGAAATTGCTCGGTTACAGATCTTGCCACCAGGAGATAAAAACTCCTGTCTCTGTGGCATTTGGACGAGACGATAGTTCAAGGAATGGCATTAGAGGTGAGTTCAGAATCCTCAAAGGAACTTCTTTGAATCATATACCTGGGCAAATATTGGGAAGCTGATGTTGGTTATAACTCTGTGCAAACAAAACAAAACCAACCAACTCAGTTTTAGTGTATTTTTTCTGATTACAGGAATTATGCATGGTCATTTCATTGCAGAAACCTTGAAAAGTACACTAGCTTTTAAGGACTCATTTGTGGTTTCTCAGCCAGGAGAGATGTCATTCCCACTTGGTCATATTTTGATATCCTCTTTCTTTGTCTCTTGTGTGTTTATTTATTTAATTTTAAGACAGGATCTTGTCCTGTAGCCCAGGCTGAGTGCAGTGGCGTGATCACAGCTCACTGCAACCTCCACCTCCTGGGCTCAGGTGATTCTCCTGCCTCAGCCTCCTGAGTAGCTGGGACTACAACCATCAGTTACCATCCCTGGCTTACTATTATTATTATTATTATTATTATTATAGGGATGGGGGTCTCACTGCATTGCCCAGGCTGGTCTTGGAACTTCAAGGCTCAAGTGATCCTCCCACCTTGACCTCCCAAAGTGCTGGGATTACAGGAGTGAGCCAATGCACCCAGTTCTCTTAAAAACAAAAAACAAACAAACCAAAAAACGCAAATAATATATTGTTTATGCACAGATACATTTGTGATAAAACTATAAAACATTGGAATGATAAATATGAAATGTCAGATTGTGGTTATCTCTGGGGATAGGAAGGTATATGGGAAGACCATCTGGAAAACTGCAAGGTTTTTTGAGATGAGGTCTCACTCTGTTGCACAGGCTGGAGTGTAGTGGCATGACCACAGCTCACTGCAGCCTTGATCTCCTGGGCTCAGGTGATCCTCCCACCTCAGCATCCCCAGTAGCTGGGACTACAGCTGCACACTACCACACCCAGCCAATTTTTTTGTATTTTTTGTAGAGACAGGGTTTCACCATGTTGCCCAGGCTGGTCCTGAACTCTGAGGTTCAAGCTACCCTCTTGTCTCAGCCTCCCAAAGTGCTGAGATTACAGGTGTGAGCCACTGTGTCCGGCCACTTTTTCCATTTAACATTACGTTTCCAAGATTCATCCATGGTGTATCTGTGGCTGAAGCACACTCCTTTTTCACTGCTGTGTAATGCTCCATTGCATAATATCCCACAATTTATTTATCCTTTTTTTTTTTGGTTAACAGATATTTGGATTGTTTCAAGTTTTTTGCTAATATGAACTGTGCTGCTATGAAGATTCTTGCTTATAACCCTTGTACATATGTGTAAGAGTTTCTCTAGGGCATATATCTAGGAGTTGAATTGCTGGGTTTTACAATGTAGAAATACTCAGCTGTAAAAGGCAAGTGTCCTGGATTTTCATCTGGCAATGTTGCACAAGCATTTGTCTATGTCATTAAAAGTTGTTGTTTTTTTTTTACATAAAAGAAAAGCAAGGTAAAAGTATAAAACATTATTCAGATGCAAGATATTATTATCTCTGTGGATATTCTCTGATCACAGCAGAGTCTGGTTACATATTTAATAGCTTCAGGGCAAAGGCCACATTCATACATGTTGTTAATCAGCACCAATTATTTATAGAGAACTCACAATATGCCGGTGTGAGGTATTAAAAATAAACAAAGCTGGACACTAGTTGCTATAGACTTCTTAATGTTTGTGTCCTCCCCCTTCAAATTTATATGTTGAAACTCTGCCCCCCATTGAGATGGTATTAAGAGGTGAGGACTTTGGTAGGTGACTGGGCCATAAGAGTGAAGCCCTCATGAATGGAATTAGAGCCCTTATAAAAGAAATATTGGAGAGATCCCCTCACCCTTCTTCTGTGTGTGGTTACAGGGAGAAGAGTGCTATATTAGTCTGTTCTCATGCTGCTGTGAAGAAATACCTGAGACCAGGTCATTTAAAAAGAAACGAGGTTTAATTGACTCACAGTTCCGCGTGGTTGGGGAGTCCTCAGGAAACTTACAATTATGGTGGAAGGCACCTGCTCACAGGGCGGCAAGAGAGACAGTGAGTGCAAGCAGGTGAAATGCCAGACGCTTATGAAACCACCAGATCCCATGAGACTTACTATCGCGAGAACAGCATGCCAGAAACTGCCCCCCATGATCTGGTTACCTCCACCTGGTCTCACCCTTGACATGTGGAGATTATGGGGATTATAATTCAAGGTGAGATTTGGGTGAGGACACAGAGCCAAACCATATCAAGTGCTATTTATGAATTAGGAGGCAGGCCCTCAGCAGACACTGAATCTGCGGGTGCTTTAATCTAGGGCTTCCCAGCTTCTAGAACTGTGAGAAATAAATTTCTGTTGTGTGTAAGCCATCCAGTCTATGGATGAGTCTGACCCCACTTGTCCCTGCTCACCATCTTCCAGCCACACACCCCTTCTTTCTAGTCTCCAAACACTTATGGCTTCCCCTGGAGACTTCACTCTTGTTCCCTCTGCTTGGAATTCTTTGAAGCCGGAACTTTGCAAGCCCCATCCTTTCTCATCCTTCTTTATTCAGCTCAACATGTCACCACCTCAGAAAGGCCTCCCTTCAACATCCAAGCATTCTCTCTCCCATTACCCTGTTTTTTCTTCATAGCTCTTCTTGTGAACTGCAGTTACTTATTTATTATATTTTGTTTCCCCTGCCAGCCTGGGAACTCAGTGAGGGCAGCGATCTTGTCTGTCGTGGTCGCCACTGTGTTCCCAGCTCCTAGACTAGGGCTTGGCCCTTGGATGGCGCTCAAGGAGTAAGAAATTCCTTTAACTTAGGGAATTCTGGAATCGCTTTCTCCCGGCAGAGCCGACTCTAACCAAGTGGGAAAGGTGAGGTCTGCGGCTGCCTGTGGTCCAGGGGTGACGGTTTGGCCCAAGGCCCTGCCTTCGTCCCGCCCCCGGCCCCGCCCCTGTTCTTGTCCTTCCCCACGGGTCTCCATAAAGTTCATTTGGCGGCGCGCCGCGCGAGGGCTTCTGGGAGCAGCCGGCCTTGGCCAATCAGGAAGCGGGGTAGAGCGGCGCGAGAAGCGGCAGCCGCGTCCTCAAGCCGGCACCTGAGCGGCGGAGACGGCTGTAGTACAAGGTAAGGGTGTGTCTGGTCGCGTTCTTCCGACCCTGGGCTTGTCCTTGAACCCAGGACCCCGTGACTGGGTGGAGCGCCGTACCCACGCTCGGAGCCCCGCAGCTCACACTTCCCGTTCTCCTCATGGCAGCCGGGCACGCCTGACGCCGGCGACACAACGCGTTGTCGAGCCGCCCCAGAAAGAGTCGGGCTGCACCCCTGGGTGTGCCTTTCATTCGCCCACTTTCTGAATGCAGAACCTAGGCCTCCCGACTCCCCCTTCCCCACTGTGGCGCCCTCGCGCCACGCCCCTGCCCTCACCTCCACCTAGTGCCCCGCGAGCCCACCCTTCCTAAGCCTGCGCCACAATGCCTGCCTGCTTACCTTCCTGACCGTGCCCTGCCTGCTCGCCTACCCCTCGTGGACATACCCTCTAGAGTTGCATTGCCCTGCGAGGGAAGGGGTCTTTGGGGCGAGTGCAACTTCTCCCAACCCTTGGCTTACCTTTTGTACATCCAGGAGGATGCTAGTGGTTGGAACCCAGGGGTGGCCCACCCTTCTCTGTGCTTACTCCATCCCGTCCTCTGCAAAGGGGAAGCCCAAGTTCACTGGCTGTCTTTTGGAAAAATTATGGGGCCGGCCCCATGGGTCCTTGGTGAAAGTGTGAAAGACCCGTTGACAGAGTCTCTGGTCTGGGTTTGCCCTTCTGCTAGACGTGAGAAGGAGGTTTTATTTATTTAATCTTTGTTTTGACCGAGTTGTCTTTCAGCAAAAGCGAGGATCACCTTTTTGTATTCTTTCCGGGGGATGTGGGAGGGTATCCTCGGTCATCCTAGCTTTTCTTCTTTATTTTTTTTCTTTAAATCTTCCTTTGTGCATTTGTGTTTGCAATATTTTTATTTTCATTGATGGTGATCTCATAGCATTAAATACCTACATATCAGAGGCTAACAGATTCCTTATTTATATCTCCATCGCTGGCCTCACCCCTGACCTTTATCCAGCCACCCACTTAATATCTCCGCTGAGATGGATGATAGGCAACTCAAATTAAACATGCCAAGAGAGGGCTAGGAAGCTCCCCTTCATTACCCTCCCCAAACTGCTCCTGTTGCCCTTTCTTTCATCTCAATAATAGGAAAGACTCTGGCTAATAACCTTTGAGCCATCGTTGACTGCTCTCTTTCTTTTTGTTTTCTTTCTTTTTTTTTTTTTTTTTTTTTCTTTTGAGACAGTCTCCCTCGGTTGCTCAGGCTGTAGTGCAGTGGTGCGATCTCGTGTCATCGTGTCACTGCAACCTCTGCTTCCCAGGCTCAAGTGATGCTCCTGCCTCGGACTCCCAAGTAGCTGGGACTACAGGCGTGTGCCACCTCGCCTGGCTAAGTTTTGTATTTTTAGTAGAGACGGGATTTCACCATGTTGGCCAGGCTGGTCTTGAACTCCTGGCCTCAAGTGATCTGCCGTTTCAGCCTCCCACGAAAGTGTTGAAATTACAGGTGTGGGCCACCACACCCAGCCCTCTGTGATTAACGCCACAAATAGTACTTGCCACCCTGGGCCAAGTCACCACCTCTGGTTTGGATTATTGAAATCGTTTCCCATTTGGTCTTCCTGCTTCTGTCCTGGCCCCTATTTTTTGCACAGCAGCTAGAGGGATCTTTTTAAAACACAGGCTGTCAGATTGTATCATTCCTTTACTTAAAAAAAAAAAAAAAATCCCTCCAATGGGTCCCCATCTCATTAATATGATAGACTAACCCCTTTACAGTGAGCTATAAGACTTTACATAATCTGACCCACTGTTACTTTCTCAGTCTCATTTTCTGCTCCCTCTCCTTTCACACGTTAGACATGCTTTGGCCTAGGGCCTTTGTGCTTGCAAGTTAATATCCATGTAGTTTGCACTCACTTCTTCCAGGTCTTTACTAGGGAGGTACCTAGTGAGGCTTTCCCCATTTCCCACCTCCCTTCATTGCTTTAGTTGTTCTTAGCACTTATATTTTATGTATTTTTCTTGTGTATTGTTGTCCTCCCCCTGTAGAATGTGAGGAGATTTTTATCTGTTTTGTTCCCTGATGTGTTCCTAGCACCTAGGTCTGGCACACAGTAGGTGCTCAAAAAATATGAACTAGATGAATGTTACTGGCACTCTGGCAGGCATGGGGATGCAGTGGTGAATGAGACAGGCCTGCCCTCATTGAACTGATATGCCTATGGAGGGTACCACTAGCAATAAAAGCACAGATAGGAAGTGTGATGTCAGGGCTGTTTCTTAAAGGAGGACAGGGATATTTGAATAGAGACCTGCTTGAAATGAATGAGCAAGTCATTGAACTATCTGAGAGCACTGCTGGTAGGGGATAGAGCAAGTGCAAAGCCCCTGCAGTGTGAGCAGCTGGAGATGTAGTGAGTCTGAGGGGAACCAGCTTCTTGATGGACTAACATAGAAAATAAGGTTAATGGATGTGCCAAGGAGAGGGACAGGTTGGAGCAAAGATCTGAAGGTGAGAGGGGTCACTCCTCATGAAAAAGTTTATTTAAAGAATATGGAGTTAGAAGGAAGATCTTTCACAAGGTGTGTTCAGGGAACAGGCCACTTTAATTCAACAAACATGTATCTGGTACCTATTATGTGCCAGACTTAATGCTGAAGACTCAGAGTTGAGCATCTGTGGACCTTACCATATAGGAAATTTGCCGCTAGAGAGGGAGACATATGTGTGATGAAATAATCACAACTACTGCACTAGGGAAGAACAGTATAGAAGATACAGAATAGTGTGGGAGGGGATTGGCAAAGGTGGGACTTTCCCAGCTGGCTGCAGCATACATAGGAGTTCCCCATGTGACAAGATAGGGTTGGGGATGTGTTATAGAGAGTGTGTACTTAGCACGTACAGGAGTATGAAGGGAGGAAACAGGCATCCCAAAGAATAGAGAATTACTAGGGTATAATTGGGGGAAGGTAGCAAGAGATGAGGATAGTAAGGGTGGCAGTGTCTGTTCTGTGGAGAGCACCCTTTATAGCTCTGTCAAAACATGAGCATCTTATTCTGTAGGGGATGGAAGGTGTCCCTGATGGACTTAAGGCAGGAAAGCATTTCAGAAAGACCTCCCTGACCATGGGGAGGCTGGTTGGAGGAACAAGAAGGCTTGGTCGGCATGCAAGTCAGAGAAGTGGCGAGAGATGAGGGTATGACTTTGCAAAAGGTTTGAGAAGTAGATCTTGAGATTGGTTGAGTATTGAGGAGGTGAACAGGGACCCCGGGGGGACTCAAAGGTGGTTTCTGGCTTACTTGACTGCATGCTAATTGTTTTACCGAAAGAGACTGGGAACCCACGAGAAGGAAGCATTGGTGGTGGCAGTGGCTAAGGGGAGAGAAGTGATGAGTCTGATTTGGGACATGTGTAGTTTGAGGCATCCATGAGTCATCCAGGTGTAGGTATTAGGTGGACAGTTGGAAATACTGGCTTGGGAAAAGAGTTGGGCTGGACATAGAGATATGAGAATCCCCTTTGTTTTGGTAGGTTAGAGTCCTCCTAGCTCACTTATTTGTTTTATATTAATGTCTATTAATACCTACATCTCTTCTCCCCTAAATAACATAAAGTTTGAAATATTTTGTAGCTTTATACTTTTTTATAGCTTCAACAGTGCCCTCAAACAACTAGATCCCCCATACGCATTGCTAACTGCCAGAAGAACCTTCCTCAAACCTTGCCAGAAATTCCTACATTGATCTATAAGGTACACCAAAGTTACAGTCTTCTCTTCCTTCATTCACTTAACACATATTTATTGAGCATTAGGTGCTGTTGTTCAGTGCACGAGGAATGGGGCTGTGGACAGACCAGACCAGGTTCCCAGACCCAAGGAGCCTATTAGGAGACAGACAGTAAATGAACAAACAGGTAGACATGTGATGCCAGAAATTGATAATGTGCTACCAAGGAGATAAAACAGAAATGTGGTAGAGTGGACAGTGGGACTGCTTTAGCTGGGGTGTGCTGAGAGGCTTCTTTAAAAAGGAAACCTTTGAGCAGAGATTTGAAGGAAGTAAGGGGGTGAGCCAGGTAGGCATTTTGGAGGAGAATATTCCTGCAGATGCAGAGGAAGTAGTGACTGTGAAAGCCCTAGTCAGCAGTGTATTTAGCGTATTTGAAGAAGAGCGGAAGGTCGTAGCACCAAAGCACATAATCCTGGGGAAGAGTGGTAACAGAAGAGTTGGGTCAGGAGGCAGTCATGTAGGCCTCATAGCACAGGGTAAGGATTTTGGATCTCAGTCTGTGAGTGTTGGGGGCTATTGAAGGTTTGAGCCCCTTCAAAGGCTCCTTCCCAGTGTGGTGTGGAGAACAGGCTGGGAAGTGGGAGGGGACAAAGTAAGAACAGGGAGACAGGAGGCTACTGTATCACCTAGATGTGACACATGAGAGTGGCTTGCATCAGGATGATAGTGTTAGAAGAGACAAAAAGTGGGTCTGACTTATGTATATACGAATAAATGTAGTGTAGAAATGAATTGCTAATGTAGGGTATAAGAGGAGAAAAGAAGTCAAGGACAATGTCAAGGTTTTAGGCCTGAGCAGCTTCTAGCATGAAGATACCATTTACTGAAATGAGGATGATGGAGAAGTTCCAAGTCCTTGTTAGATGCTAGAACATGGCCTTCTCCTTCTAACCCCCCCGCTCCATGCACCTTACTCTCTGTGCCCATCTCTGTCTTTGTGACACGGCTGTTGCCCCTGCTGAAAAACCCGTGTACCAGTCGGCTCCTTTGGACACGAGAGGTCTGCTGTGAGGATGACATTAGGTTATACAAATAAAGCCCATAGTGGGGACTCATATGCAAACAGAGCTCAGGAGATGATGTTGGGCAAACAAATGAATGGAGTAAAAGGAATTTAGATGAGGGAAAATTTCTGTAGGTAATGTGTATTGAGGAAGACCATTTGGTAGGTAGGACTTGAGTTGGTGCTAAAAATGATAGCTAATGTTTATTGAGTGGTTACTATGTGACAGG